GCCGCCGCCCCAGGCGGCCGAAACCAAATTTAAATGTGTGGTGGAAAGCATGTTTTCGGAGCTTTCTGGCTCACTGAAATCCGCCTTTCAGAATAATGGCTTTGTTTTAATTGCGTTCCGCTCCCGTTCAAAGAGCGCTTAGCCAGTCGTGAGGAAAAAATCATTTCCTAAAATATTTAACATATAAATATTAAAAATCTAGCAGTGCCTATTTGTTTAAATATACTTTTACTGAGCTATAATGTATCCTCATTACTAAATGGAGCACTGGATTTAGCATAAAAGCTGTCGCCATGTTCCAAACAACGTGTTTTAATGACTGCCAACAAATGGAAATGCGATTTTCTTGGGGGGGGGGGGGGGGGGAAGCTAAAAGCGTACAAATACAAAACAAGATTGAATCGACTGGTTTGGCAAGAGTTCCGTGTTCGGTGCCTGAGTTCATTATTTAAATCAACGCGCCACGTTTATATTATGCTTTTCATTGTCGATAGAAATATTGACTAGCTTTGGGCAGGGAAGTGCTCCTTTGGGGGCCCGTTTGTGAGGTTTCTGTTCATTAGCGCCTCCCCGTTCGCAGCGGCCTGGCGGGAGCTGTCAGGGAGCCGTTTTTCAAGCCAGTTAATGTGTGCCTGGCTAATTCCATCTAATGGAAGTTTTTAATCAAGGTGTCAGGCTAAATCAAGCACCTTGCTGAAGTGCAAAAAAAAAAAAAAGATAATGTCCCCATCATTGCCTTTATCAATCAGATTTCTAATCTTAGGGAAAAAAATTTAATCCAGGTTTGTTTAACACGGCTTGCTTTCGTTAAAACAACATGGGCTTCTCATTTTTTCTTTCAAGGTGTCTCGGCAGAATCATGCTTTTTTTCCAGCCAAGATTGATGTCCGTGCATATCCTTGCTAAAATACTGGCTCCCATTGGCAGACTTCCAGTTCTTTCTCATTCCCCCTTGGCACTTTCTAGTAGTTGTAGGAGGTAACATTTGTGGTTTGGAATATGAAAAATGCCTTCTAAAGTGGCACCGGTTGACACCAGGCACAGATGTGGCTCTGAATTTCAAATACTATTGGTCATTTACCCGTGAATAGTGAGGGATTTTTATCACCCTACAGACTTTCAGACAGTACCACAGAGTGTCCTTGCTTTACTTTGGTTTAGCTTCCCCTGCCTGACAACCGGCATTTAGACCTGAACAGGACTGAAGAGTCTGGTTCTTACTTTAAGGAAGGTGAGAAATTGCAATGCTTGTGTGTTTTCCAGGTGTCTCATGTCCGCTTTTCTGCAGGTTTTAATTGCAAGTGGAAGGCAGCTCTTCGAAATATGATGGCCACTCACCAGCTTTTACAATCTAGGCAAAAGAATAAGTCTTCCAAGGTAAAAAGCCCAAAAAAGGATGCTGCTGACCATCGTAGCTCTCAGTTCTGGGGCCTGATGTGTCTGTGCCTTGTGGGCTGAGAATACTTTCTGTTGGCTGCACTCTGCTTAGTTGGATGAAAAAGCAGATATTTCCAATTTAACGAATCCAGGGAGATAGAGCATGTGACATGCGGCTTTGACATGTATTGGAGTAAATAAATGAGGGCTCATTAAGTGTGCACAGAGCCTTATTAGCAGGAATAAAAACATTGAACGATACAGGAACTAAATTTAATATGCTTTCTACTGAGATTTTTCATGTTAAAATCACATGGTGTTTAGTACTGACAGTAACCACAGTCTTGGACATGGTTAACCGTTTGTAGCAGATACTGTGTACAATTCTGTGTTAAAATCACTGTGGAAACTAAGTCCATATATGGTGTCAGCAGGCAGAGGCTGCTGACAGATGCCAAAGCTGTTGAGGTCTGAAGCTTCTGTCTGGCATAGTCGCAGAAGGGTTTTTTCCTTCGTGCCAGTGGCGCTGTTGCAGTAGTTCTTTCATGCCTGTAACAAGATGCTAATGGCTCTAGCCAAAGCTGTGGCAGGCAGTGGACTTTGGTATAGCAGTGAACAGTGCCCCACCTGTGGCCCTTGTTTGACTCCAATTAACTTTGTAGAGCTAAGCTGGCAGAAAACTATATGTTTTTTTTTCTGTAGGGATGGTTTTCTGACAGGTGCCTGTATTGGTGCAGTGGAGGGGGCAGGAATGTACAGCTGTGACAGTGGGTGAGGGAAGAACGAAAGCAGCCTGGATCGGAGTAAATCTTGCGAGATCCTTTGATAACTAACCTTAAAATATTTAATCCTACCCATGTTAGATATGAATCATCTCTGTATATTGTATGATGACCAGCAAAATGTTAAAATCACTTCTTTAAGTTACCCTCTCTTCCTACCTACTGAGAGTCATTTCTAAGTATGATTGATCCCTGTACTGAACTAAAACCAGTACTATTTTTGACTTTGCTTTTTTTTCCAGGAATCAGTGTTCTTCCCCAACCAAATTACTACTGAGCAGCAGTCTGTGGTGCTGGTGAAAAGAGTTCTGGCTATCTCTGTATCCTGTATAACGTACCTGAGAGGGCTGTTCCCAGAGAGTTCATATGGAACTCGCTATTTAGATGGTAACATTTTCAATTTTTGCTGAATTCTTGTTCCCATGTGCTATATTTTTTAGCAACAACCTGCTTTACAGATTAGCTGCCAGCTGCTCACAAATGTATAATTCAGTTTATTGGAGGAAGACTGCTAACAGGCCTTCTCCAACTCTTGAAGCAGGCAATGCCTCTGCATCAGAGAGACAGCATGGGAGACCACCTGAAGCTATTGGCAGCTCATGGCTTTTCTGTTAGCATTTTCTGTTGCTTTATAATCATTTCTCAGTGTCGCCAACCCTATGCATCAGGCCCCAGAGTCAGTAAACTGAGTTAGAAATCAGTAATTTTTAAAAAATATTTGTGATTGGTATGTTTTATTTTCCTTTGAATTTTTAGCCATTGTTTTTCACGTTTTCAGCTTTCTTTGAGAGATCAAGAGCAGATTTTTTGAATCTTTTTTTTTCCCTTGAAAACCGAGTATCTCACATAACCACGTGTGCTTGAGAGTCAGTGCTTTAAGAAAAAAATGTTATTGTAAGATTAAGATTCTGTTGTCGTAGGATCACAAGAATTAATGATGCTTTGATTCATCTGCATCTTTATGTTCATTTGAGATGTGTTAGTGAGGGGTGAAGTGCTTCCATGCATTACAATCCATTTCCCTGTTTTT